CGAGAATTTTTAAACGAAAGATCCGAAAATGTACTTGAAATTACCGACAACGTAGTTGTTTCCGACGATGCTTGATCCATTGACGAGCCTGTTACATTCCAGGCTCGGGGAAAGGTTGGGCACTTTAAGGCTAGATACTTTATGGTTTTATTATTTCGGGTACCTAGCATTAGTAAATGCATGATCTGTTACGCTAAACTGCAGCTTTGTCCCTGGTACTGGTATATTATTGCGCAGCCATGGCCGACCCCCTGAGTTACAAGAGGGCCGAGGCAAAGAACCTCCTGGGCCCCTTCTTGCATCTGCAAACTCTGGACTCGGAAGTTTCAACGAGGGTCGGCTGGCTTCCACAATGAAACAAGCCCCGTGGCCTTGAATTTTGTTTTTAATTTCGTCGTCCATGTTGCCACTACGTGCACTACTACTACTACTACTACTACTACTACTACTACTACTACTACGTTCATGCAGTTCTGTCACATTCATTTCCGAACGAAGCGATAAATGATCGCAATCGAATCTTTTCTACAGAATTGTTGCCCTCTATGCCAGCCAAAGGGATCAGAAATTAATACCTAAGTAGCTAAGCCGACATCCAACAACGATCACGAAACGCGGCAGCACGATTTTCGGACGGATCCTGACAGTACAACTGGAAGAGAACGTCTAGCACGAAATACATTTTCATTCCCATGATCCACGGTTTCCCATAAATATTCCGAGCTAGCTGTCATAACGGAAGGCGTCGCGGTCAGATGTCGCGACCTTCTCATTAACCCCAAGAGGCTGCCTGCTCTCGGCAGAGAGAAGCTGAGAGGAAGGAGGTTCGCTTGACCACAAAACCTCTTGAGGAAGATCAAGAAGGCGAAGCCACGGTCTAAATTTGGAACGCCCACCCTCTGCTCCACGAGAATCGATCTTCGGATACACCTGCAGCCAGAGAGATCCGACAGGAAGGAAACACACGCACACACACCGCCCTCCAGAAATGTCTTGAAATCTTCGCTTCCGCTGGCCGAGACTACGCTTCCTAGTTTCACAGGGAACCGGCTAATCGATTTCTTTCCTCCAGCCCCTCCACCTTTTTTTTCCCGCCCGGCCGTCTTCGAAATTAATTTACTTTCACACGATTAATCCCGACCTTATTACGATCGTTTTGCGGGTTGTATAGGGATCGGCCGAGCCGGCTACGAAGGGTGTGGAAGTTACTCGGCACGTTAAACGAAAAACCGAGAGCCGCTGGAAAAAAGCGACTGGAAGGTGTAAGATTTCGTGGTGTGTGAAAGAATACTCAATCGACAACTCTGTAAAAATATAGCAAATGACACGGAAACCATCGAGATCAATTTTTTCCTGGAAATCGTATTATTTTTTTAAAAACATGATTGATAAATTACGTCACGTATCTTTCACACACATCGCACTGTTTTATTCGACTCGAAAACGGCGTGGATATATTTTAATTATGCCACGAAATGTG